GAATTTCTTATCAAATATAAGCTCTGAATGTCTCTTATATACAGTTCTCTGGCATTGTTTGGACAGACATTCGCATCGGAATCGGTCCTCAAGTGATAGACAACTCAATAGGACTTCACATAAATCGCCACCAAATCTATCAAAACTGTCTTTACTATACATTTTAGACTTAATTTATAAATTAATTATAATAGACTTAATTATATTAAAATATTTTGTATATATTAATATGAAACATATAACTGGTGTAATAAACAATAAAATAAAATGACATTAAATAGTGTAGTCATAAAAATACTTTATTATTGTGATATATAATTATTTCATAGCATTAATGCAATCAATATAATGAGCTAATACAGTAACACATTACTATATATTCAGTACTATTATATCATAAACATTATCATAATATCGGTTACTATGAATCAAAATTGTTAAAAATATAACGTTACTAAGTTAATATATTTGTAATAAACAGTATATATTGCGTTATGTAATTGTTATGTTTTTAATGTATTTATATAATTATATTCCAAAAACATTTATGTATAAAATAACATTTATATTTGCATTTAACATAGATTAAAAATAATTATTTATCTATAATACGTTGAATATTTTATGCTAAATAATTTTCAATATATTTATGTTTAATCTTTAAAAGTGTTCAAAACTTTCATTATTAATTATAAATAAATTTTTATGTGTATTAATAGAAAGTTAATTAACGTCAGTTTTTAGTTTTGGTTAAAATATTGTGACAAATGTAAATATAATACTAGTAAAAATTGACATCAATTTATTTTGTTTAGCTTAATTTAATTTTTATATTAGATCTTTAATTATAACATATATTATATGAATAAATCATAAACAGACAGACGTTAGAGCTGGGTCAACATATTAGCAATATTAGTAAAACTTTCATATAAACTTTTATAGAAGTAGCACCCGGATCAATTTTTATTTAAACCCACTAATGCCTTTCTGGTTATGATTTAGTCAAATGGAAACCATGTATTTCCCGCTGTTTAATGAGCTGACTATTAGATTCCAAATAATAAATACCTGGTATAGTTTTACAAATTATGAGCACAAATTATACTATTAGTGCAATTTTGCGACAAGGAATTCATAAAAGATATTATACACTGGATCATTGAATTCCCTGTCGATTAGATGTGTTCTAAACCTTGCAATCATTGTCGCATCGATTTGAATACTATTTCTGGAGATTCTATTAAATTCTTGCATCAGTTCTGTTGTCGTCCGGTTCGCCGGGGTTTCACTCGTCATACGATTAAATAAGTCGTTAATTGTATCGATATTTACGCCGACATCACATAAAACACGTTTCCAACTCTTCTGTATCCGCATCAGTAGTTTTAATGAAAATTCTTGTTTCCTAATGTATTGTTCAAAGAAAAATAGTGTTTTTTAATTATTAACACAATTATCAGTTAATGATAATTAACACATACTTTTCTTTAAGAGAAGCAAACAGACATTTACCAATAATTCCGATATTGTTTATATCCTGTTTACTTAGGCTGGCTGAATTTTCGCTATTAATTATAATGAGATATTAATTATTATAATATAATATATGATATATCATATTATGATATATTTTACGCTTTATATTACAGCTTACTTATGTTGTGGAATATTAGTTTCATCAAATTTATCGAGATCATTTTTGTTAAAAACAATGTCCATTAATTTAACATTAATGCCCTGGGTCACGTTTGTCGTAATAAACACATTCAGAAAGTCGAGTGCCAAATAACTTGCAACGCGTTTATCGTTTGTATACAAATCGTGAACACAATTCAGAAATTGAGAAAATATTTCGCATGATATTAGAAAATCAATTAAAATGAGATCCGGATCATATTGCTGGTGAAATACACGCCATTTTAGTTTCAGAAAATACCGCAAACAATGGGAACAGCACTCCATTTGCATAAATAGCTTATTGTTCTCCAGCCATGTATTATACCGTTTGACTACATATTTTGAGTCAAACGTATTGTACGTACGAATTTGTTGGACAAATTTGCTCATGGTCTCTAGATTATCTAGGTTAGTTATTTATTATGAAAAATCAGATTCAATGTCACGATTAATATGCAGTGATTTTGATTGTATTTACCTGGCACAAAGTATCTTAGCGAGTACATTTGTTGATCGACTAAATGTTTTGCAACATTCATTCCTTACCGTAAATGCGAATCAATTTCTACACCTTGTGTAAAATGTGATTCTCGCACAAAATCGTCTGATGTGCATAATAATAATTACAGTAATTATTAACTTGTTACATCATACCCATACCCTTACCATCGACTGTGACGTTATTTACTCTAATATCACATGAATCGCCAATCTTTACGTAAGGTCTAAACTGACTATATTTGTGGTAAAAATATTGACACTTGCTTTCAATGCATTCATCGAATAGTTTGACGTCGTTTTCCTTGATTACAGCGCCGACCGATAATCTATTAAATCTAAGCAATATGTCTGAGCATTCGGGTCGTGCCCTCCAATCGGTCGAACCCCTCTTGGAGTACTCATTAGCACTCATTTCGAGTAATATTCCGTAAATACTAGTCATTAAATCGGCTAAATCTGTATCGTATGCTGTATATAATTGATCTCTGTAATCAATACAATAATAGTAATTAATTTGGTTTAATTTTACTCTACTCCCATAAAAGTAACATTGAAAACCTGATAGATTATAAAAGTCGGACTTTTATAATAACTCGATATCATTACTGGATATGTTATTTAAAACATATCTTAAATTAAATCTCAATTTTCACTTACTTTCCATTCATAAAACATTTTCTATTGAATTCAAAGATATCTATCCCAATGAGTGCTAGACTATAGATATCAATCTTATGGTTATAGTTGGCGCCCATGGCTTCCGGCGCCTGATATTGAGCCCCTCCTACATCTTGCGTATGGGTTACGGCAGACATGGGATGCGGTCCACCCGTACTGAACACCTCTTTCGACAGACCGAAGTCACATAACTTGACATACCGTTCAGTTTCGGTGCCGTTCATAGCGATCAACACGTTATCCGGTTTGAGGTCTCTGTGAATGATATGGTTTTCGTGCAAATACTGCACACATTCTAGAAGTTCCCGAAACATATGCACCGCTATATAGCACTCGAATCTAGTGGTCATCCCAACCTTGTTGTGTCCGCCGAATGGGTTTCGTCTCATTTGTAACACTTTTGCGAGATTTCCGAAACATAACTCCATTTGAAAATACAGACAATTGTTTTCGACCCACGAATAGTAGTATTGTATCACAAATTCGGAGCGAATTCTTATTAAATGTTTCGTTTCATTCATTATGTTTTGCACATCGTTTGGGTCTAAATTAGAAAATTTTTAGAAAATTAATAGTTTATATGAAAAATGTTTTTAAATACTATTATTTGCTAATAATTAGAATACAATTACAATAATAAATATTGTATACATATTAAAATCCTTACTTTAATTACATTCTTATATCCTCAAGTTAATTGACTTTTCTAGGTATAAGGTTTGTTATATGAATTTTTAGTATGTATAAAATTATAAACATAAAAACTTTTAGACTTTGGATTTATAAACATATAACATTTGAATCTAGGTCTCTACATGACTAAAAATGAAATGTATAACAATAAACACACTTTTAAACTCAGACATTTTTATTCCATATAATTCATTAGTATGCTTATCCCGAACTTTAGATACAATTCCAAAACTTCCTTGACCAAGTTCATCTAAAACGTCAAATGTGTTGTTGTAGTACCCATTAGCTGTATCGGTGGGTATATCTTAAAAATAAAATAAATGGACGAGAAAATCGTCAGATTTCCAATTAGAATTGTACAATATATGTTTACATTATATTAACGACAAACAAATGTCATCCAGAACAAAGTAATAAAAATGAACAAAACTTACCGTTATTTTCTGTTGAGTACGTATTTTGTGTAGTATTTAACCGCCGATTTGTATGATTACTTCGTTGGCAACCGTTGACCTCAATGGCGGTTACAGTCATTTGTAACTCATTCGCATAGAACTCATCAAATGTTTTACATTTAGTTTCGATTATCTCATAATCGTTTGATCGGAACAAGTGGTACACCGTATCGCCCGTAATACCCGCTATTATAGGCCGGGTTTCCGATCTACAGTAGTGGACAAGCGAAAGTATAGCTGGTTTTTCTTTGATAATTTCTAAACGGATTATCGTATCTAAGATCTGACTTCAGAATCTTAATCCCAGATAAATGACAGTTCTTTCGGTATATAAGATCAAAATTTTATGTTATCAGGTTATAAAGATATTCATGTTTGAATATTGACAAGAGAAATCAGGAAACCCTCATAGAAAATGCATGGTGTTTTTATGTCAGTTTCAATATTTTTACTTATTTTACAAAATATGAAAATAACTATATCTTGGTCATTTTGGATGCGATTTTTAAATAGTAAAAATCAATTTGCGTAAAATTAAAATGCGTTTAATGCTTGCTAATTAGATTTGAAAATTTCTCATATTTTAAGTCTATCTTTCTAACCCTTTGTCCTAGAACAAATCTGTAAAGTGCATTGAAAAGAGCATAAAAAT